ACCTCCACCACCTTTACTGCCACCATGTTGGTCTGAGCCACTAACCGCTCTTGCCTTGATGACTACAGTAGCCTCCCTTGTTCTGTCACCTCCCCGCCACCCAGTCTATTCTCTTCCCAGTAGCCAGAGTGACCCTTTTTAAAATATATATATTTTTATTGATTTCAGAGAGGAAGGGAGAGGGAGAGAGAGATAGAAACATTAATAATGAGAGAGAATCATTGATCAGCTGCCTCCTGCATGCCCCTTACTGGGGATTGAGCCTGCAACCCGGGCACATGCCCTTGACTGGAATCAAACCTGGGACCCTTCAGTCCACAGGTTGACACTCTATCCACTGAGCCAAAGCAGCTAGGGTGCCAGAGTGATCCTTTTAGAACATAACTGCTCAAGACCCTCCACTTTGCTTCTCATCTATACATATAAAAGCCTAAGCGACCATTACAACCAAATGACCAGAACGACCGGTTGACCAGTTGCTACAACGCACACTGACCACCAGGGGGCAGATGCTCAATGCAGGAGCTGCCCCCTGGTGGTCAGCGCACTCCCACAGCCAACCTCCCACTGCCCCTCCCCCAGGCCGGCCAGCCGCCATTGCCCCTGGTGCTAAACCATTCATAGAGACCTGCTTCTGGGTCTGGGTTTCCTATGTAGCAGAGCAGCTCCCTCGCTGTGATCTATTGAAAGTCAGGCCTCAACACAGGGTTTATCTCGCTCCTGTCCTCTCCCTTCCCTGGGGGCTGCCTGCCTGCCTTGGTGGCAGTGTAGCAGCAAGGGAAGGAGGAGGGGGGAGGCAGGGAACTGTGCAGTGGCGGAGCGCTGACGGCAGCGTACAGCGTCCAATCCTTTCATGCCCAGCCCGGTGACTGTCGCCTCCTCTCCTGACCTCGCCAGGGCCTTCAGGCCCGGGCTGGGATGGGAACCAGGGGAGGGTGGCAGCAGACACAGCCCTTTCCCTGGGGTGGAATGTCGGGCCAACCTCCCATGCCCCCCCCTTTCCACAGCACGAATTGTGAACCGGAGCCTATAAACTCAATAATAAAAGCCCAAAGTAATTAACAATGGCCTATAAGGCCTCCCATAGATCTTCCCCCATATCTCTCAGGACCACCTTTCCTGCTCTTCTCTTCTTTGATCGCTCTAATCCAGCCATCCTGGCCTCCAAATGCTCCTGGTACACTCCCCACCCCCCAGGGCCTTTGCCCAGGCTCTCGCCTCAGCGTGGAATGCTCTGCCCCATATAGACAGGCATATGGATCACTCTCTTACCTCCTTTAATCATTGCTCAAATGTTACCTTCATCCATGAACCTACCCTACCTACCATGGCAGACTACATTTCCCAGGTGGCTATGCCAAGATGGATTCCATCCCATGTATTCTTCCTATGATACAACACTGACACTTCTCCAGTGGGAGGTAGGGTTCATTTTCCTTCTCCTTGAACCCAAGTGGACCTTTGAAACTGCCTTTACCAACAGTATATGCAGGGAATGATGCTATATAGCCTCCAAGGTTAGGTCATAAAAGGTAATATGGCTTCTACCTGGCTCTCTCACCCTGGGATCCCAGCGTCCATGTGGGGAGAAGCCCAGGCCACATGGAAAAGGCCACATGGAGAAGACATGAGGCCTCCAATTGGCCACCAGGGTCAACCACCCGACAGATAAGTAAATGAGCTTCTAGATGATTCCGTATGCGATCTTCACATCTTCTGACTAAGGC